TTTCTTTCTTTCTTTCTTTCTTTCTTTCTTTCTTTCTTTCTTTCTTTCTTTCTTTCTTTCTTTCTTTCTTTCTTTCTTTCTTTCTTTCTTTCTTTCCTTATAGTGGGACTTATAGTGTGAACTCCCTGAGCTCTTTTTGCCATAGGCTAGTACTCTACTACTTTGAACCACAGCACCATTTACAGTTTTCTAGTGGTCAATTGGAGATAAGAGTCTCATGTACTCTGCTGCTCAGGCTGACTTCGAACCATGAACCTCAGATCTCAGCCTCTGAGTAACTAGGATTACATGTGTTAGCCACTGGTGCTAGGCAGATCTTTTTTCCTAATCCAAACCCATCAGAATCTTTAATTAAAGAGTTAATATAATTCACATTTAGAGTTAATATTGAAGTATTTGCTGAGGCCTGTAATTTTGTTGTTTTCAGGTTGTTTTGACTACTATTTACTTTGTTGAGTAATATTTGATCTTTTCTTGTTCTTCTTGGGAGTTTGCTTGTTTACTAAATAGTGCATGATTGATTCCTTCTTTTCATCTACTTATATATTGCATATCTTGAACTTTACTTTTTATGGACCTCTCATATTTGTAGCTGGCTTTCTTCCCCATGTATAGGTTGTTGTTCTTGTTTTTATTAAGTATCTTCTACAATGCTGGTTGGCTTAGTGATACAAACTGCTTTAGTTTGTGCTTATAGTGAATGGTCTTTATTTCTCCATTGAGTTTTATAATTTTGGGGGGGGTCCGGTCATGGGGCCTGAACTCTGGGCCTGGGTGCTGTCCCTCAGCTCTTCAGCTCAAGGCTAGCACTCTACCACTTGAGCCACAGCGCCACTTCTGGCTTTTTTTTTTGCTTATGTGGTGCTGAGGAATCGAACCCAGGGCCTCATGCATGCAAGGCGAGTGCTCTACCACTGAGCCACCTTCCAAACCCTCCATTGAGTTTTAAAGAAGAAGTAGATCTTGATTGGCAGTTATTTGTTGACATAATTTTAGAGTTTTGGCTGAGAGCTCTTATAGAATTCTGATAGATTTATAAATGAGTTGGTATTTTTCTTTTGCAGCTTTTGATATTCTTTGTTCTGTAGTGTTAGCATTTTGATTGTGTGATGTGAGGTGCTTTGCTAGTCTTGTCTATTTGGGGTTCTATGTTCCTCCTATATTTATATGTCCATACCTTTCCTTGGATTTGGGAAATGGAAATTTTCTGCTGTAATTTCATTGAATAGATTCTGTGTGTATGTGTATGTGTGAGTGTGTGTGAGAGAGAGAAAGATATACAGAGAGATACAGAGAAACAGACTAAAAGACATGCTTTAGTTGGTTTCTTAGCTCCTTCTATACACGAATTCTAAGGTTTGCACTTTTGATCTTGTCCCAATGTTCTTTGAAATTGGAGACATGCTTGTTTACTTTTTCCTTTTTGTTGCTTGGTCTAGTCTACTGACAATGCTTTCTAGGTCTTATTTGATTTGTTGATTTTTTCATATACAAACATTCTGCTTGTTTATTATTTTTTGGCAAAGAATCTTGATATCAGCTGAATGCTTGGGGATCACTCTGTAATCCTAGCTACTCAGAAGGCTGAGATCTGAGGATCATGGTTTGAAGCCAGCTTGAGCAGAGAAGTCCATGAGACACTTATTTCCAATTAACTACCAAGAAAGCTGGAAGTGGAGCTGTGGCTCAAGTGGTAGAGCACTAAGTGTGAATACAAAAGCTCAGAGAGAGTGCACTCAGACTGTGAGTTCAAGCTCCAGGACTAGCACATACACAAAAAAGAATCTGGGGCTGGGAAGGTGGCTCAGTGGTAGAGTGCTTGCCTCACATGCATGAGGCCCTGAGTTTGCTTCCTCAGTACCACATAAACAGAAAAAGCCAGAATGACGCTGTGGCCCAAGTGGCAGAGCACTAGCCTTGAGCTGAAGAGCTGAGGGATGGCACCTAGGCCCTGGGTTCTTTGTGATCAGTAATCATTCTTTTTATTTATTTTTGTTTTTGTTGGTCATAGGGATTGAACGCTAAACCTGGGCACTATCCCTCAGCTCTTCAACTCAAGGTGAGCACTCTACTGCTTGAACCACAGGGCTACTTCTGGTTTTCTGAGTGGTTAATTGGAGATAAGAGTTTCATGTACTTTCCTGCCTGGGCTGGCTCTGATCTGAGATCCTTAGTCCTTAGCTTCCTGAGTAGCTAGGATTACAGGTGCTAGCCACCGATTCTGGGCTTCAATAATCTTTCTTAAAGTTAGAATTTGAGTTTTTTTGTTCTCCAATGTTAGCCTACAATGCAGGAGGAGCCATTATTATTCTGGGTTTAATACTAGCAGGAGGTATGTGTTGGTCGTGTGGCTAGGTGTGTAATTCTATTTACCAGGTTTGCCTGGTTTATTTTGTGGCTATGACTTCAGCTTCTCCTCCATCCTGGGAAATAGGTTTGGGAGGGAAACGTAAGGTACAATTTTCATCTAAGCAGTGAACGCATGTTCCAACATAAATATAAGCCCCTTAATAAATACTAGGAGATTGATTAGTTCCATGCCTATAAAGAAATCTCTATGCAGTCAGTAAGTGAACTTAGAAGAGACTTCACTGACTTTTCAACAAAAATACAGAATTTACAGAATTAGCTGTCAAAAATAACAAGCAAAAGGCAATTGAAAACAGCAAGAACGCCGGGTGCTGGTGGCTCACGCCTGTAATCCTAGCTACTCAGGAGGCTGAGATCTGAGGATCGAGGTTCAAAGCCAGCCCAGGCAGAAGAGACTGTGAGACTCCTATCTCCAATAAACCACCAGAAAACCGGAAGTGGCGCTGTAGCTCAAGTGGTAGAGCGCTCACCTTGAGCTGAAGAGCTGAGGGACAACCCCCAGGCCCAGAGTTCAAGCCCCACGACCGATAAAAAAAAACAAACAGCAAAAACTACAACCCTAAAACAGTAGAATTTAATTTGTAGAGTTGACAAATTAATTAAAAGGCTTACTTCTCAGGAAAATGTATGAAATATTTAAATAAAATGTAACCAAAATGCAAGAATATAATAACAAATTAAAACTGTCCCTAAGGGAACTGTTGTATACTGCTCCAGTAGCTGTAAATTAGTGCAGTAATGGAAAACTATATGGAGGTTCTCAAAAAACTAAAAGTAGAATCATCATAAAATACAGCAATCCCACATTTGTGTATGCATTTAAAAGATTTAAATTGGTATATTGAAAAGATATTTTTATCTTCTATATTCATTGAAGCATTATTCACAATAGGCAACCAAACTATTGGTTGAATCAACCAAAGTATTGATTCTAGTGTCCATCAATTGGATTAATGTAAAAGTAAAATATACACATATACACAATAATACTTTTACATGAAGGAAAAATTCTATTAAAAAGGAAGAATTACAAAAATATATGTATGTAAATAATCTTATTATATGCTGTCTATCAAAGACACAATTTATATTTGTAGATACAAATATGCTGAAAGTTAAAGGATGAAAAAGATAGACCATCTAGACAATAATAAAAAATATGACATCTGAGGAATTGCTACATTAATACCAGACAAAATAGGCCATAAAAATGAGTTAAAGATTACCAAATATACAATTGAAGAAGGCTATTTCAAATGATGAAAGGTCCAAATAATTAGGAAGATCCACAATTACATATGCACTTAATAATAAAGCCACCAAAACAATTGAAGCAAATCTGATATAAATAAGTAGGCAATTCTATAGTGATAATAGGAAAGTTTAATACTACCACTCTCAATAATACATGTATAGAAGAATAAAGTCACAAAATAGCATAGAACCAAGAAAAAACACTTTATTTGATATTTCAGAATAAGCATAACTGATAGAATCCTCTATCCCTAAGTAGCAGGATACATATTCTTTTCAAGTGCATATGAAATACTCTTCCTGATGGAGTACATATTAAGTAATAAAATGTCTCAATAAGTGTTTTGGTTAGTCATGGAGCTTGAACTCTCAGCCTGGGCACCGTCCCTAGCTCAAGGTTAGTGCTTTACTACTTTGATCCACAGTGATCCTGAGTAGCTAGGGTTACAGGCTGGAGCCACCAGCATCTGGCTTAGTCCTAATACATTTTAAAGAATCGAGATCATACAAAGTATGTTCTCCAATGACAATAGAATGAAAATTTGGAAATTAAAAATAACACATTTCTAAATAGCCAATAGGTCACAAGGTATACTGTATACTACTTTTAACATTATAAAATAAAAATGAAATCACCACATGCCAGAAATTATAGCTTAAAATACCAGTTTTTTTAAATGGATAACTCAAACTTCCACTTAAAGAACTAGACAGAGGAGCACATACTAAACTCAAAGTAAGCAAAAGGAAATTAGAATATTAGAGTATAATGAATGCAGTCTAAATACATTGCTCAAATCTATCAAAATAGAGCATATGGGGAAAGAAGGAGAGGAGAAGGAAGAATGATAGAGGAGGTGAGATGGATTGAAATATATTGTAAATATATGGAAATGTAAAAATAAAATCTACCTTCATATAACTTATGTAAGGTAATTTTCAAAACATTAAAGATTGAAGTAGAAACAAGTAAGTAAATAGAACAACAATAGTAAATCTACTGAACAAAAAGTTGGTACTTTATAAAAAGTAATTTTGCAAAACAATTGGATGAACTGATGTAGAAAAATAAATAAGAGATTCAACTTAGCAAACTAAAAATAGAGTGGAAAGTATAATCTACCTTATAAGGGTTAAACAAGTCTGTAAGAGAATGATGTGAACAATTTAAATCAAAATATTGGAAAACATAGATGAATGGAAGATTTCCTAGAAACACCCAAAGCCAATGAGAAGAAAGTACAAACTCTTTATTTTTTGCCAGTCTTAGGGCTTGAACTCAGGTCCTGGTTGAGCCACAGCACTACTTCTGGCTTTTCTGTTTATGTGTGGTACTGAGGAATTGAACCCAGGGCTTGATACATGCTAGGCACTCTACCACTAAGCCACATTCCCAGGCAAGTACAAACTCTTAGTAGGCCTTATTAAAGCATAAAGTTGGTAAGCAAAAATTTTCCACAAAGATTGTCCCATCATCAGATGACTTCACTGATGAATTCTACCAAACATTTGAAGAATTAACACCAATACCAGACAAGAATTGTTTTTAAAAAATAGAGGATCAGGGGCCACTTATTAACTTATTACGTGAAGGGAAAACTAACTTTAAATAATTTCCGGCAAATATAATGCAAGGAGACAAAACTACATACCAGTTTCCTTCATGAATATAGTTGTAAAATTTTTGGATCAAAATTTTAGTAAACTGATTTTGGTAACATCAAAAGTTACATACCATGGCCAAGAAGGATTATCTCAGGATTGCAATGTTGGTTCTACATACAAAAATCAATCAAGACAATAAACTTTGTTAACAGAATAGATGACAAAAAACAGAATTGTCTCAATGCAGAAAAGCATTTTGCAATATCCAACACCATCATGATTATGAAACATTCAAGAAATTATGAATAAAACTCTTCAACACGGAAAACCACATCTAAAGTCCCTAAATTAACCTCATGTTTATTAATGAAAAACTGAAACTTCCTTTTCTCTCAGGAACAAAGCAGGAAACTTACTTTCACTATTCTAATAATGTGTTGAAGTTTCCAGGTGTAGCAATTAGAAAATAAAATTATTCAGATTGAAATATAAGTTGTATGGTTTGAGGAATCATCCCTGAGGTTTATGCTAGACTATCCTTCTAAACCTCCCTTCTTGATTGTAACTTTTAATCCTTTACATAAATCTAATCTATATGTATAAATTTTCTCCAGTGTTTAAGGGATTTCATTATATATGTCATTTTTATTTTTTCATCTAATCAACCTTTGAAAATACTCGTTTTCTTTCCAATTTTTAAATTGGTTAAAATTCCCTTTGCTGCTATGTCCAATCCTGTCTCCAAAACATTTGAAAGTTCTAATAATAAGTGCAAACTTGAATACAAATACATTTTACCTGTAATATCCATGTAACCAAGACAAGGCTGGATGTACTCTCTGTAAATTATCTAAACAGTTGTTCACGTCTTCACTGCTACTTGAACATACAACAAATTGTGAAGCTACAATGTACATTTTAAACCACGAATCTATCACTTGACATAGTGTAGGACCTTGAGTAGGTTTGAAACACTCTGTGCCTTACTTTTATCCCCTATAAATGTAGTCAATGAAAGTGCCAATTCATATCGATTTGGGGGGCAGATTAAAATTGATTATAATATGCAAAATGCTTCAATAATACCTGAATATATCATTATTATTATTTAGCTTTCATTTGCTTTTGGATTGCAAAGGGAACTGGAAAGAACTGAGTCTCGGCACTTACTTTGCCATCATTTAGGAATAAGAAAACATAATTTGAGTTTAGTTCTGAATCTTGAGTTTCAATCTAACTAAAATCTAGGTACTGTATTAGGAATAATTTTCTATTTATTTTGTGAGGGAGGTTTGTTTTACATTTATGCAAAAATAATATTATTTCCTATTATTTCAGTGCATATGCCTTATTTCATTTAATCCTAACATATGTATATTTTCTTATTGTAAATGAAAAAGAAAATTTTAATTACTCTCATCACTATATTCATTATAAGAACTAAATAATAGAAATAGAAATTTAATTAAATAGAATTTAGCAGGGATTATAATCTCACCCCTAAGAATTCTGTACTGACTTCTAGATGTCAAAGGTCAGCTGTATAATTTTACAATAATCTGCTTATATACACAGAAAAATTTAGTGAAATTTTTTGAACTGGTGCTTATTGAATATCTACTATAATCCATGCTACAATTTCAATAAGACCTTTTTTTCTTACTAGAGGTAGGGCCTGAACTCTGGGCCTAGGCACTGTCCCTCAGCTCCTCAGCTCAAAGCTAGTGCTCTACCATTTGAGCCATAGCATCACTTCCAGCTTTTTTCTGCTTATGTGGTGCTCAGGAATCGAGCCCAGAGCCTCATGCATGCAAGGCAATCACTCTACCACTAAGCCACCTTCCCAGCTGCTCAATAAGACTTTTTTTTTAAACTAAAGGACTTAGATTGTTAAAATCCTTTGGAAATAATTCATTTAACATGAATTATATATTGTAATTGATAAAATGATTAAATGACAAAATATTAAAGGGGAAATAATTCTTTATGTGGCAAGGTAAGTGCACTCCATCCAATATACTAATTGTAATTAGTTAACTGGCTGTCTCCAGTGTAGCAACACTTTCTTTCTGTATTTGAGAAGTCTCAATAGTTGTACACTGTGCTCCAATCCATCCTTTACACAAATTTCTCCCCTTTACATTGCAAGAATAGAGAAGCCACTAGCCAACCTTTGATCACAGATTAGAACATTTCCAGTCAGTGCTTCTTGTTTGTCTCCAAATTAACTGGTCAAGGAATATAATATCTGCAATACAAAGAGTGAATGTGATAGCAAGCAAACACACTGTAAAAAAATATTTTACATCTGTCCAAATACGTAAGTACAGTTTAATGCCTTTATCTTATTAAAATTCAGGAAATTTTACTTTCTTGGTTTTTATCTTGATATAATCATAGTAAGAAGGAAGCAGAATCATCACACCTTCTTATTCCTTAAGCTTCAATTTTCTTTTCCATAAAAATACTTTTTCTCCTACAGTTTTGTCTAAAAGTCTGTAATATTTTGCTTTAATTCTAATTTTAATGTTTTCACAGTATAAATGTTTTAATACAAAACAAGGTAGTGATTTATTCAAATGTGTTGCTACTTGCATATCAGCATAGAATATTACTATGTATCCTTTGAAATACAGCACTTTTTAAGAATCATGTGTTACAGAACATCTTAAACGTTTACATCATCATAAAGACTTCTCAGTATTGAAAATAAATACATTAATTTTATGGATTAAAATGATATTTTTATGAGAACTCATCTTCCTTAGTTCAATAATTCCAAGGAGAAATAGTCTTTTGAAGTTCCACTGAAATAAGTGTAGGAAAACTAAGATATTTGTTTCCTTAGTGATCAAAGTTGTCCTACTTAGTTCTCAATAATGTAATAACTTGGTCAATTATGAAATTTAAAGAAATGTCAAAGTTTGATTATTATATATTCTTTCACATATAGCTTTCATTTGGAATTTTCCAAAAAGTACTTGACATGAAAATGTCGAGTTTAAGACGCTGGGTGGCGCTGCAGGCTTAGGTTGTGAATACAGTAACGAGCCCAGGTTGCTCACTTACTCCTTTGTGTTCAGAGAGAATTTCGTTTGAATGCACAAAAAGCATTTCAAGCAGTATGGAATTACCAGCAAGATTGGTAAAGGATAGATTTAATAGAATGTAATTTTGTCGTCATTACTACAAGCAAAAAATTAGAATTGAACGCCTCCAGTGTCTGTGATTACTGAAAGATTTGGATTTAACCAAAAGAATGCAGAAGCTAAAGAGAATGCATCTTAACAGGCAAGTGATGGTCTTTATTTTTGCAGCGTTCTTGCGTCTGGTTTTCTCGGAGCCTATGCGTTTTTCTGTGAGTGAGGAAACAGGGAGTGGTTCCTTTCTAGCCCATCTTACCAAACCAATGGGTTTGGGAATGGGGGAGCTGACCGCCCGGTCTGCCAGGGTGGTTTCTGACGATGACAAGCAGTACTTACTATTGGATTCTAAGACTGGAGATTTACTTCTGAGGGAGAAATTAGACCGAGAAGAGATATGTGGCCCTAAGGAACCGTGTGTGTTGCATTTCCAAGTGTTCCTGGAAATGCCAGTGCAATTTTTTCAGGGAGAATTACTAATTGAAGATATAAATGATCATGCTCCAGTATTCCCTGATAGGGAAGTGCTCTTGAAAATACCGGAAAACAGCCACCCAGGAACTCTGTTTCCATTAACATTAGCAGAGGATTTGGATGTGGGTATTAATGGGATTCAAACTTACACAGTCAGCCCCAATGCTCACTTCTATGTGCTCACTCAAAATAATAGCGAAGGCAAGAAGTACCCAGAATTGGTCCAGGACAAAGCGCTGGACCGCGAGGAACAGGCTGAGCTCAGCTTAACTCTTGTGGCTCTGGATGGTGGGACTCCACCTAGGTCTGGCACAGTCTTGGTTCGAGTCCTGATCATGGACGTCAATGACAATGCTCCCGAGTTTGTGCACTCTCCATATGAGGTGCGGGTCCTGGAGAACAGCCCACCAGATTCTGTGATTCTAAACGTGCTAGCCAAAGATGCAGATGATGGGAACTTTGGGAGTGTTTCCTATGGCTTCTTCCAAGCATCAGATGACATTAAGCAAACTTTCTCAATAAATGAGATCACGGGAGAAATTCGACTGAAAAAGGCATTGGACTTTGAGAAAGTTACTTCTTACCGTGTGGAAATGGAGGCTACGGATGGAGGAGGCCTCACTGGGAAGGCCACTGTTTTCATAGAGGTGGTGGATGTGAATGACAATGCCCCGGAAATTACCATCTCTTCACTCACCAGCTCCATCCCAGAAAATGCTGCTGAGACAGTAGTCTCTGTTTTTAGAATCCGAGATAGGGATTCTGGAGAGAATGGAAAGATGGTATGCTCTATTCCAGACAATCTGCCATTCCTTCTAAAACCGACTTTCAAGAATTTCTACACTTTGGTGACAGAGAGGCCCTTGGATAGAGAAATAAGAGACCAATACAACGTCACCATCACCGTCTCCGACTTGGGGACTCCCAGGCTGCAAACCCAGCACACCATCACCCTGCAGGTGTCCGACGTGAACGACAACGCCCCCGAATTCACGCAGTC